ACACACACACACACACACACACACACACACACACACACACACACACAGTGTCTCGTGTGAATCTTAGGTTTCTGTCTCTCTAAACTGTGGAGATCTTGGAGACTCTAACAGGCAGAACTTTCTCATCTAGTTCAAAGGTCACAGATAAAGCCGTGGCCCAGATGACGAGCAGACAACAGACGAGCTTCTGATCGGGCCGATAGTGCTACTGCCCTAATACAAATGCTTGGAAGCCCTTTGCTCTACGTTTTTGCAGTGGAGCACCTTACATATGACATTACTTAATAATAAATGAATAATGCATCTTTATTCACACACACGCACGCACGCACGCAGTCAGGACAAGACTTAACAGGACAAACTATAACCAAAGCCCATTCTTTTTATTTCCCCATCCAGTGTCTAACTAATAAACCAATAATAATATAATACTAAGAGCATCTAAAGGGCTGATCAAGAGGAGCTGGAAAAGGCAGGACTGTTGGCAAGGACCTTAGTGACCTGAATTCACACTTGAGTACTTGGCTCACTCTTACTTTGCCATGGTAAATAAATAAACAATAAGGTGCCCGGCTTGTACGGGGACAGAGTTCAGATTTCATAATCTCATTCAGCTAACAAATTCACAGAAGTCTTATTTATGGATTATGTTAGTCATGCCCTGTGGATAAACAGCTCCAACGCTGGCTGCTGTGTCACTTCATGAGGACAGGGGCACAATTCTACATGAGAAATGTTCACGTTACTTTGGGTTTTAAATGTTAAACAGACATCCAACTCTGAAGAACACCTCATACTGACTTCACAGTCTGGCTTCACACATACGTCTCCTTGGCTGTTCCATTTCTAGTCTAAAATGGCAACATTTCATCTGTATATATCATTCCTGTATTATAATGTGGCAGAGACAGTCTGCTTAAAGACAGATGTTTAACTTACCAAAGAGACACCTACATAGGAAATTGCCATTTACCTGATAATTTGGATGATGCAGGAAATAATCCGGACATCCGGCCACAGCCATGTTTTGTGTTTCTCAGCTCTTTTGTACAATTTGCCTGGTTGGATCAGTGTCGATACAAGATGGACAGAGCAGAACCTGCAGAGGAAGAAGAGCAGACAAATGGAGTTTAGTGGAAAACTACAAAGGAAGAAGGGAAAGGGGGACAATGTCCAAGAGAGGAAGGAAAAGGGTCTTGGAAGATGGAAGTCTAGGTTCTGAGGAGACGGATATAGCACAGAGCACTTCTTAGCCCACATAGACCCATAGTAAACAACAAGTGAGGAACAGTGGTGGGTTATATACTGTTAAGGGTAATAATTGAATCTTACATGAATCTACATTAGTACAGATGTACCCTCCTGTTGTCCAAAAACGATGATTTGTAACAGGAGCATCCGAAAAAAAAATGCTTTGCAACATGAAGAAATATTTAGTAAATGGACCAATGAAAATGACCTTCTTGGTAACTAGACTGGCACCAGTCAAATTTAGGGTAAAGTGCATGGCTTATATTCAGATGATAAAAGCTCATTTAACTTTGCACTACGATTGCAGCACAGTTATGGAGTAAATAGAAGTGCGCTATAAAGACGTCCTACACCTTATGCAAGTCTATTATGGAGCCTGAGGACTCTAAAAATGAGATGCTTCCCGGCTGCGAGTCGCATCATCTTGGGTTTTCTAAAATATTTTACTGTGCTGACTGCGACCAAACTGCCAATCTCAACACACTCCAACGTTCAACGATGTCTTTGTAAACGGACACAGCTGCAATTGAAGTTGCACCTCGGGGGAATTTAAAGGTGTTCTTTTTGCTCTACTGTGCCTCCCTCCCGGCCATCCTCGGGTCAAAATAACCACAACCTCAACAACATGGACTTTAGTCTATTTGAACTTCTTAAAGCAGGCCTATTGACCTCTTGGCACTGAGGCCACTGAATAAACACCTGTAAACACCGTCCCAAAAATAGCCTGCAGGCACCTCCCCGGGTCTTAAGTTAGTGCCCGCAGTATATTTGGAGCCGAGCACCTCGGACTCACAACTGTGATGGTCTTTTATGCAGCAGTTCATGACCCAGTGTTGGTATTTTAAAAATAGGGCCAGCCATTTTATAGACAGCTAATATTATCTCATGTTTGAATTAGCGGTTTGCGAGCGGGCAGCCCTCGTGGCTGCAGAGTGTGTATATATGTGTGTGTGTGCATTTTTGCCTGTACATGTGCTTCTGCGTGTTTACATGTACTGTATGTGCGTGGCTGTGTAAAGCCTCTATTTTTAGGAGTTTTCAGGGTCTTTGAGAAGCTCTATTTGTGTTCCCTCGAGTTGTGTATGTTGCCGCCTCTGACCGACTTAGTCAGTGGTCAATGATAGGACCACTGTGTCCCCAGTAGAGTCAACTACCACACTGCATACTGGACATACCGTTAAATTGCAAAGCCCTCTGACAACGATGATGCAGGCGACTTGACAAAAAGGCAGTAACATTAACCAACCGTTGAAGTCAATCTCTAATAAGACAGCCTTGACTGTAAAGGGCCGAGTTATGCATAAACTGAAGTAGACCATCGGACCGCAATGGAAAGCAAGAGGGTTTATAGTTACAGATATTGTCAAATGCAATATTGACGCCGTAAAGGGTGTTAACCCCTTCAGACTGTAAGGCAGAACGTTTAGGCAGAGATCTAATTGAAACATCTACTTAAGCCTTAATGTGCTACAATCCAAATAATAGTCCAACTGTCTCCTGACAATCCTGCAAAGAACGGAGATACCTGGACCAGGTTGACAATCCTATCAGAATGATTCAAAATATTGTTCATTGTCTCAGAAATAAATGTACTTTATTTAGGCTGCCATAAGTCCTGCCGTTTACCGTCTATCACAAGATGAATGTCATAGTGGAAAATGTGTCAGCTGATGAGATAAATAAATCATAAGTCATTAGAGCGCTCCCTTTCAAATTTATTTTTAATAATTAAAAAGAGTTTTAAACCTCACAAATCTGGCTTGCTAATAATGACCAGACTATGAATGCATTCTAAACAAAGAGCCTGGCACCACGATCACTAAGGCTGCTGAAAGGGCTTGCTTGTAATGAGTGTGTGAGTGTGTGTGTGTGTGTGTGTTATTATGTCAGTCCATGTGTGTGGCCTGGCCGGCTGGCATGCAAGGACAGCTCGCCTATTTACACATTATTTACAGACACACAGTTTACAACAAAAACAAAACAAATGAACATCACCCTAATCTGCCCGAGCAGTCCCTCATTAGGCTCCACACACTAGCTGACCACAGTAGCTGAGGCTGAACTGCATGCGTATTCGATTTCAGGAGTCAGGAGATTGTGTAAGACGGACAGCAGCAGACTTCAACTAAATACATTCAGATTCAAACAAACTGGCTGTGCCTCACTGAAGCTTAAATCCTTATCAAACCTGCCGCTTTTATTTTACAAGGATACAATACATTACATTAAATACCACTGAATTCAACGTACGGCCTTTCAACACCACCGGTATAAATTCTGCTTCTTCTGTGCGTGCTAAAACATGGGAAAAAGCTCAGGCCTTCCACGTAGCATTAAAATACCTTGGAACCCAAGTATCAAAGTGCTCATACGTGCCGGAGTGACTCTTGGTGACTGATATATTGACCAAACACACACGCACCTATGCTTAATTGCTCCCTGACACAATCAAAGCCATTCCAGTGCAGGGATTAGACCCTCTCAGAGTCCTTTGATTCGATTCCTTCCACTCAAACAGTGTACTGAAAGCTAACCATCTCTGACCCTGACAGTGTCTCCGCAGTAGAACGGGGGACTCTGGGGCTGGGCGGCTGTACCCAGCGGTGAGGTGACTGCATCTGGATTAATTAAAGTGATTTTTTGCTCAAACTTGCATGAGGGAGAATGTTAGCTGCTGGACTTCAAATGCAATAATGTCTATCATGCATCATGAATCCTTTCCAGAACTATCCTGGGTGAGACTTCACAGTCAATACACAACACTCTACTGAAGGTGTTCTGCACCTGGTGGTGTGGAAAATGTTTAGTGGTCAGCTTATTTCATTTTAAAATGTCCATAGTGGTGGTTGGGCCCATTGTTTTTTTTTAAATATATGTATCTTTCTAAGTTAGGAAACATATGCAAACATGATCTTTGTGAAAAAGGGAGAATTATTCTCCAAAGCTCCATTCTCCAAGTGTCACATGCCTGCATTTCACACAAACACACCTTCAAGACAGATTCTAACTTCTTTACCTCACGATGATTACGTACATTTAACAAAACAGGATCATAATGTGTACTATGATGTTTTTTTGCTGCCAAGATCATAGTCAATAACTCAACAAACATACAGGCTTTAGAAAACAGTCGGCAGCAGGGCTTTACTCACTCAAAAGTCCGTTTCATTCAACTGTAACTGTGCGAGTGCATATATGAAACTATACGATACATTATATAAAATTGGTTGGAGAAACAAATTCACCATTGTCATTGAGACGCCACTACTGCAGTTTGACCTCTGAGTGTTGCATACTGTGCTGGAAGTTACAACACATAAATGATGAGTCATATTGAAACTAAACATAAGTGTGAGGAGAATATTTGTCCTCTGCGTATTTTCACTAAAGGCAACACATGCAGCACTAACTGGAACAGCATAGCTGCTCTTGAACATGTCCTGGTGGGCTAGCATGCTTGGTCACTCTTGGGGGTTAATGTGCTGATATACATGCTTACATCTCAAAAAAGGTCCAGCTTTAACATCCCCAGGTGATAAGCCAAGGCGAGGCCTAGGATCACCAGAACCAATACCAAGAGGGTAAATATGGGGTACGACGCAAATGTTCGGATCTAAAAAGGGGGCAAGGGATTGCAAAAGCGAAAAACAAACTTTCAGACACACGTTTGCAAGAATATTTTTTCTTTGCAAATGATAAAATATACAATTAGAATTGCATATATCAAATCTCATTGTGGTTTTAAAGAGACTTATTTATTTAGGCCACAGCTTCCACACACATTCAATAACAGGTTATTAGGTTTTTCCCTTCCCTTTCCAAGGAGTCTAATAAAAATGCCTCGAGTGGAAAATGGAAATATTAAACTTTTAACCTCACATACTGTATGCAGGCCAACCCTGAGACAAACGAGTGTCTTGTGAGCTGAGCAAACATAAGTTGTAAACTAAGGAGCCAGTTTGATTTTTTTTTTGTCTGCCTGCCTGCTGGTCTGCTTTCCTGCTTGGCTTTTTGTCAGTCAACCTCTCTGTTTACTTGTCTGTGTATATACATATTGTCTGCAGACGGTCTGCCTGCCTGCCTGCCAGCCTCTGTACATTTCTGCGAGGCGTTCTCTCCTCTACGTATGTTACAGTCCTTTCCTTACTGGGAAAACATTCCAAATAGTTTGGGTTATTTATAGCGGGACATCCAGAAACTTACTGTTGCATGAACCTGTGCAGTGTACAAGTGAGCCAGATGCTAAAAGACCTCTGCTAAAGTTCCCGAAAGCATACCTTTTTGTAATGTTTAAAAGTTCTCAGACTTTAAACTTTGACTATAAAATCAAAGACATGCCATGTGGCTTAAGTATTAAAGGACCGTGTGTAAATTCACAACAGCCATTCTGCTGTTGCCAAAGCTTTTATTGAACCAAGGCAGTGTTACTTTGGAACAATGGAAACACAGTATTACGGTGTCTGTATCTTGTAACTTGTTGGAACATAATTGTTTAAATTCAACCAAACAGGCCTTCAAATATACAGCCTGATATGTTACTGTAAGTATGCATGGAAGGTATTACTTGCAGAAGCATTTAAACCCCTCACTAATGTGACCTTACCGATAGAGGTACTGGTGTCATGTGTCTCCAGTCTGGGCCTTTCAGCAAAAATAGCACAGGTCAGAGTAATGAGGCATTCATCGCCACATCAGACAATTCAGGGGGTAGTTTTTTTATTTATTAAAACACATCAAATCTGTAACAAAATAACCCTTCAAATAGACTTCCTACGTTACATGTAAACCCCCCGCAGCTCAATGTTAGCATCTGTACATTATTGTCAAATATGTTCATCCCAATCAACT